AGAGGGGGCCCATACCCACACTGTTGCCACAGATTTGGCGCTTGGTGTGGGCCCAGACGTGTCAACCCCATTGATAAGGCATATATATCGGATAAGTGCTCGTTTCGATAGCAGCCGTCAAAATGTTTGACTTTTATAAAATAATTTACTTACAATTTGCACATGTCAGTCAGCAATTACAAGGGACAATTGTTCCAGCCGGGCGGCAATTAGCGTTCTTGACTGATTTATGAGCAGAAGCGATGCTCCCATCCAGTTCGGTTCCGCATTCTTCCGAGAGTCTCAGCTTCCCAGAAGGAGCATTTTTCATACACTCTGCCATCAACCATATAGCTTTGACTAATGATAGTCATTTGCATGTACACATGGCCGGCAATCTATTGTAATTGAAGGTTTAATTAACATATAGTTATGCTAGTAATGGATAAGCTATTTTCAAGATACTTTGGTGAAAATAGGCCTGCATTAGCCAGCAAATAGGCTCTTTATCACTTAATTGTTCTTTGAAATTAAATTGAAACTATAATTTGCATAATTAATTGTCGAAGAAAAAATTCACAGCTATTTGCAATTAAATTTTAAAGCTTAATTACGCCATTTCAGTGCACCGAATCTGCGCTGGGAATGAAAAACAAATTGCAACCAAATTAATTTGCATCAAACAAGGCATTAAAGGCCTGCAAAAACTAATGGAGTTGAATAATTAAGTACTGACCTGCATTTTAAGGCTAATCAAAGCTCGTTTGGGCCATACAACCGTGCCACGCACGCGAATTTCAATGACAGCCGCCAAAAACTACAAAATGACAAAATAGTTAATGGCCAAACACGCATTGAACTGAAATCAAGTAAGCCGGCTTGCAAATTAAGTTATTTAAACAAGACATAATGCATTTGATTCATTACCAGTAATGCTTTATGCGAAAATAATAAAATAATGTCACTTCTTAATATATTGACATATCAAATTATCTCCCAACTGATACCTTAAATTCTATGGAGGTTCACGCTTAATTTAAAACGGAAACATGGAATTTAATTCAGGTTATTGTGTTTGCCGTAAAAAAAGAAAAATATTTGCTCATCATAAACAAACAAGAAAACGATTTTACTTTATCCATATATTTACATTTCATTATTAATATTAAAGTTGGTTTGACAAAGCCCGCTTTTAATGGCTTTTTATTTAAATATCCATCGGCGAGTTCATTAATGTAAGAGTTCGAGGAAGGTCATGTCAGGCAGGCAGAAGGAGGACATTCGACTGCCTGAATGCCGCCTGTCAGTCATCCTGCCGACAGATCCTTTTGCCAGGACACACATACTTCACAGCTCACGGCATGTGGCATGCAATGCATGTATGCCACTGCGCTTCATTATGCAGGCCTGTCCCTTATTTCCCCGTAAAATTCTCGGGTTGCCCTCAAAACTTTTCTTGTAGGACGCACGTCCTTTGGAAAGTCATAATGGTGATGTTGCTTTAGCTTTATCATATATTTAATTAGAGATGAAAGACTTTAAGGATTAAACTTGGCCTGAAGCTTAATAATTAATACATACGGGGCGTATACTTAATGTGCGAATTTTACGTTTATTCTTTTTTTATTAATTCTTTTAAGTGTTTATTTTTGTTAGCTAGAACATGTGTCACCTCTACCCAAAAATCAGCCGTTGTCCTGTCTGTCCTGCATTGTTGTAGGTGGCGACATTTGTGGCCGTGCAGCTGCAACGCCGCATTATATAATAATGGTTGTGGGCGTGTTTGTGTTGCAGCTTGTGTGTTTGTGGCCCTGTTGACCTCATCTCATGGATATGTCAAAATTGTTCGACAAGCTCGTGTACTTGAACTGCCAACCCCTGTGGGTGGAATGTGTGTGGGTGGCTCGACATGTTTTTCCTGTGTTTACGTGTTGTTTTTCGGCAGCATGGCAGGATTAACTATCGAGTGGCTTGGTTAGAGCGTTTTTGCATATTTATAACTGCCAGGCACGTTTCGGGGCCAAGTTTGTTTCGGTCTAAACGGTTCTTTGAACTTGAAGTGATTTCTGAATATTTAAAATATTTTAAAAGCCGTCCTAGGTCAGGTGAGGTATCCAGAAAGTTTTGCCAAAGTTTGTAAGGTGGGATTAACAATATTGTGGAAGGCTTTAGATTTTAAAATTAGGTTTCAGCTTAAAGTGGGAATCAGGTACCTTAAGAACCAATTTGTATACTATTTTGGCATGATATGGCCTCCTTTGGCAACCAACATCCAATCTTAATGTAAAATACTCTCAACTGTTTTGAATTTCATCACCCATCTATCTAAACTACATCTAGGAATAGCACTTAGAATATCCAATACCTAAAAATATGTAAATTTTCAGTTTTTTCCATATTGAAAGCAAAACAAACAAAACTATTCCTCAATGTATTTGGCAGCAGAACCAATTAACCCCAAATTAATGGATAAACAAAACAAAGTAATGTGCCACTTTGGTCATTGGGAATATGGTATTGGGGCAACCGGCTCATCGGCAGCTAGGAGGTGAAATAAATTAATTGCAGTCGCCAGCGGGCGCACCACAGGTGGGCCGAAAGATGGTTGAGAAGTGGGTGGTGGGTCGGTGGATCAGTGGGTGGTAGGGCGCCAAGCCGAAACAACAAATGAATATAGAACTTTAATTAAAAGCCGACGGAATGGGCTGCAAAAGCAGCAGAAGTCCGAAGCAACTCTGCTAGGGGGAATATAAAATAAGCCAACATTCTAATAATGAAATAGTTGCCAGCATACACAAAATGAGCTACAAATATTCTAGCACAGAAAGAAATAGTTTTTGAAATCGAAAAAAGTACTTAAAAATAAAATAAAATTAGAGATATCATTAAGTAAAATTTAAGCTTTAATAGCCTCTATTAATTTTTATAGTTCCTTGAGTAAAATTTCTTTCAGTACTCCCGCATATGCCGGTTGCCAAGGCAAACAGCATGAGCTCTCTGCAGTTTAAAGCCCATTTGTAGTTGGCCTTATTTAATGGGCCTGGTTCGGAGGAAAAGTGGCGGTAGGCGGTATGGGGAAAGATGCCACATTATATGCATATCTCCCGATTTAAGCTATTCAGATGAGATGCCATGTCAGATGCGGCTCTGCTGTCGCCTAAACACGCTCCAAATGGCCCGAAGGCTGCAGCGTCTGAGGCCTGTTGGCCCGCAGTTGCCTTAAAACTTTAAGCCAAGTTCTCAGTCCCGGCTGAAACTAATCACTGAGTGCAACGCGCTGCTGGGCAAAAACAGAAAAACCAACGACAGGTGAAAGGATGCCACAAGCGGCTGCCACTCAAGATACTTTGTCGTACTTGCCCAACTTTAAGAACGAGCCGCGCATTCATCGAATTTAGTTTCAACAGCTGGGCCGTACAATTTAATTAGTCTAGTAGGACTTCCTCATATTCTCGTTCTATTAGGGAAAATAATTAATGAATTCATCTGGCCTAAGTGCAGTGCCATTATGCCCGACTCCCGACTCGTGCGATGATGATGACGTCGCCTCGTCTTTGGACTCTTGACGTTGATGAGTCGCAGAAACAACAAAAAACTACTTGGCATCAAGGCAAGGCTGGAGGAGGGGCCAAGTGGGCGTGGCACATGTGGCAAGCTAGAAGGGATATGCGTTATGATTACATAGCTGATGAAATATGCATTATCTGCTTGGTTTTTTTTGCCAGAAAAACTTTTTCGGCGAAAATAAAAGTTGAAAATTCGCTGAAAGCCGTTGTAACTTTATATTTGTTCTACTAAATGCGGGAAAAGTTATAAAAATGTTGATTTCGGATTAAAAGCTTCAAGACGTATTTAAGGAAAATTGTGCAAAATTTTTCATTTTGAGAAGCTTATATAAAAATGAATTCCCTAGAAAACAAATGTAAACGAATTAATATTTTAGAATAGAATCATTACCATCATTTCTATTTTTCCCACAAAAATTCTCCACCTGCTAGAGGTCAAGAATTTCCAACGAAATATATTACTTTCTAAAAGCTATTCATAATCTGTATTCATCGCAGCTCTAGACCTAAGTGATTCTATAATTTGCTTTTATAAACACATATACCCCACCATGGCGTCATAAATCTGAAAGAAAAGCAAAAAACTAAACGCCCACATAGAGATTATCGCCCTGCTGGCTAAACTATAGTGAATACCATACATATAGGCATTCGGTCAGGCCTAAAATTAAATGAATCTCGCCAATTTTCCAACAGATTCTGGTGCCTTTAAAGACTTTTTGCTTTAAAATTGCAATCAGTTCGGCCCACAGTAGACCTCAGCCACTGGTGTTCATCAAAGTGTGCAGGTCACCACCTTAATTTTGAGCCACCACCTCCTCGGCAATCAATTGCACATTGTGCACGTACCAGAAGGGAAACTATGTGCGTGTTTTGGTTGAGATTCGGGTATGGATGGGGGCAGGTCGCAGTCTGGTTAAGGGGCGTGTGAAATCGAAACCATTGAAACCGAAAACACTGAATGAAAACTTTTGCGGCTCAGCCTTGGGATCGAATTGAATTTTCGGTGGCATGCCACCGACATAGCTGCCACCAGACCACAAACTTTTGCGACCCGTGTGGCCATGTAACTGACCCACATCGGCCAACAGGGGAGCACAACAAAAAAGCTGCAAAAAATTGCGGTGCTTTTCTGCAAAAGATTTTTCATGAAAAACAAAAGCAAAAAAATAGCGAAATAAAACTAAAAATGGATGGGAAAACTCGACGAAAAGTTTTGGACGTTAAAGCTACTGGGCACACTTCATAATTGTATGCGAGTTTTGCACAAAACTTCTGGCTCCGAGGCCGGGAAAGTTTCAAGGTGCAAACGCCAACGTGGCGTATACGTCATAAAATGCCACAGCGGCCAGACCACATTGTGGCCTGTCTGTGCTAGTCCTGTGCCTACAGGGTGAGGCAGGATTTGTCTGTGCATTGAGAGTCGCGTACATATTGATTTAAAAGGCTTTTCACTTATTAAACCAAGTCCTTTTAATGAATTGCAAATGGGAATTCAAACGGAATTGTTACAATTAAAGAACATTTAAAAAAACAACTCTAAGGCAATACGCGATTATTAAGAGTTAAGCATTGCACAGAGTCCGAGCACCTGGCCTGAGTTGCGGTGGTGCATTGTTGGGTGGTGCTGTCGAAGTAAGTGGCTCCGGGGCAGCTGTACACATTCCCATAAAATACGCCACTCACGACATAGCAATAAACGTATCTAAAATTTAAACCAAAAATTTGTTAGATTCGATAAGAATGCGATTAAAAAACTCACTGTTTGCATGTGGTGGAAGTAACACCCCCGTAAGGATATCTTCCGATGGTTCCAACCCCTCGACAATACTCGTTGGCATCCGTAATGGTGGTAGATCCACAGTTTCCAGTACCGGAGCTCCAACAAGTGGTTGGGTATTGAGTGGGGTTCACACATATGTTGGCCTCGTTCACATTGCAAACGTAGTTGGGTCCGCATGTGCCCCCTAGGGAAGTACTTGGAGTAGCGCTTCCCAAACACAGAGCGAATGTATTCCGGCTAGTACAGGCGAAGCGATTATCCGTACTGCATTTATTGCATCCCGAACAGGAGACTAGACTGGAATCCGAACTGCAGAGAATGGCGGAATCGGTGCAATAATATCCGGTGGGGCAAGTATAGGTGGTCCCAATGGCCACTGAACTCGAAGAGCAGAACTGGAACTCCGTCGCCGAGATACAGGAGTGTCCTGTGGTGGCTGAGCACACGTTGCAAGCAGCCTGGCATCCAAGAATGGCAAAAGCCAAGAAGATCAGTAGGCGAAGCATCTTTGAAACCGACTAACAAAACTATAGCCCTGCACTTGAATTTATTCACACGGATTTATCTTATCCAATTAGTTTTTAATCTAATCTTTTTGCTAAAAATAGTGGGGATTAGGTTTGAATGCAGTTCCGCCACGTGATGAAGGTTAACTAAGATTAAATTATAAACAATATAGTCCTAGATTATAGTGTTTTTTAAGAGATGCTTTAATTTTACTTTTTACAAATATTTTTTAATTTATCGTGAGACTCAAAGTAGCCACTCCAGAGGTGCATCTGGGAGGAACCCCAGTTCCACAATACCCGGAGGTGCTATTAAAGTAAGTCAGACCAGGACAATCATAAAGACCGCCTATCCAGGTAGAGTTTGTAAGATGACAGTAGATATACCTAAAAATAATATATTTATTAATTAAAGTAAGTGGAGCTTTGTTTACTTAAAAACTTACTGCCGACAGGTGGTGTTCAAATTGGTTCCATAGGGATATCTACCCCTCTGTTGGACGATTTGGCAATACTCAGTTGGTGTCACCGTAGTGGGATCCACTCCGGGAGTCACAGTACCGCTAGGGCACGTGGCCTGTGATCCTGAGGCAGGTGTGCCACAAATATTGGGATTGTTCCAGTCACAAACGTAGCTACTTCCACAACTGCCACCTATCGACGACGGGGTTGTGGTTCCCAGGCACAAGGCGAACGTGGAGGCACTCAGGCAGGCAAAGGTGCTGTCGGCATTGCAGGTGCCGCATCCTGCACAGGATTTGAAGGCGGAATTCGTGTCACAAACTGCCGCGTTCGCAGTGCAATAATAGCCCGTGGGACAGGCGTAAACACTTCCAGTGGGCAGCTCCGCGGTAGAACAGAATTGGAACTCAGTATCCGAGACACAGGCCACATTGGTAGCCGACGAACAGACATTGCAATCCGCTTCAGTGTCGAGGATAAACATTCCAAGAATCACCACAATTCCCAGTAAGATCAGAAAACGCAGCATCTTTGAAGGCAACTAACTGCAGTTTGCAATTTCAAGCATCTTTATTCTCTGCGATTTATCTTATCGTTTAACTGAAACTAGAACTTTCAACAATGACTCTAAAAATGCAAGAGGATTAAGTTTTATTGGTCAATAAAATGAAGATAAATTAGTCTTAACTTAAGTGACTTAAGTTGCAGAAACGTTTTGTTGGTTGAAGAATTCTCCTTGAACTATATTTTCAATGATTATGTTCAATGATTTTTAATATTTAAAATATAAGAAAAGTGGTCAAGACTTCTTAAAAGTAATTTATCAAATATTAAAAACCTTGCAAATATTTTTGCAAATATTTACTGAGTATCACGTGTCTCTCCTCATAAAAGTTTATGGCTTAAATGTTTGGCAAAGAATTACTGACGCAAATAGGTAGAAGAAACGTGATAAAAAAAGATAAACCTTTTATGTAAAGAATATCAAAGTATATTTGATATTCACACCAAGGTGTAAGTTATTTACAAATTGTAAATCGTTTTAAAATTAAGTGCAATTTGTTGGTTTTGAGGCACTGCAAATAAGGGTACTAGAACTGAAATAAGGTTTAGTTGCAGGACAATTCCAGACAGTTCCATTCCAAGCAGAACCTTTATAGAAACAGTTGATATATCTAAAATAAAAATAAGTAAAATTTAACAAAAAGCTTTAGAATAAACAGTCTTAATATATTGTTACCTAGAACAAGTGGGATCATTGGGATATGGAACGCGGCCGGCTGAGGCCTTGATTTGGCAATAGCTTTCTATTTCTGCAACATTATCGTAGTATGAACAGGAGGGCACTGCACCTGACGCAGATGAGCCACAAGCAAGTGTTAGGCTTTTACTGCACACCTCTCCTGGACTGCAGTTATATGTCTGATTGGTGATCACGGCTCCTTGAAAACATGGCGCGAAACTACTGATTCCCGTACATGCGAAAAAAACTCCACACTGATTGCATTCTGCGCAGGCAGTCAGAGCCGTGTTTGCAGAGCACACTTCATTGGAAAAGGAGCAGTAAGTGTTATTGGGACAGGTATAGATCGGTCCTGTAGGCTTATTATCCGTAGTGCAGTTTTGGTATTGGGTTTTGGAAACACATGCTTTCTTTGTGTCCGATGAACAGAAGTTGCACTGTGCATGGCAAAATCCAAAATGGATTGCCAGCAGATATCCAAGAATGATCGGACGACGCAACATCTTCGAGAGAAACTAGCTCGTTATCTCCGATGCAGTCAGTTATATGTGTGTTCCTTATCCGGCAAACTGTTCAAGATTACAATTTTAATAAGGTTAATGCTCTGATAAGAAAAAAGAAGATATATCTTTTTGTGATCGGATGTAAATTGGAAGAACATACGCGACTTTTGCGGTTACCTTATTGTAAATAAGATTAATGCTCTGATAACAAGAAAGAAGATATATCTTTTTATGATCGGATGTAAATTGGAAGAAGATTGAGCATCCTAAGAGCAAAAAATATATAAATTCAGATATTGAAGCAATGTTTTGCATTAAGAAAATTGCTCCATAAAATTGTGCCTTTTTCAAATTTCAACTGTTTTCTACTCCCGATGGCGATTGCTCGGCCACAAACATTGCTTAAATATCGTTTTTAAATTTTTCGAATTTTTTCCTAGGAGTACCTGCATAAAATTGTGGGTTTTTCTGATTTCCCCACATTTTCTCCTTCCGATGGTCATAGCTCTGCCAATTCGTATCCGATCAGGAAACAAATTACCATTCAGTAATCAGTGAGCCCAGAAGCTACTTTTCTTATTCAAAATATTGCACATGGTATACCATGGTAAAAGTGGGAAAATTATGAAAATCTACATTTTTATGAGGGTACCCCTAGGAAAAAGTTCAAAAAATTTAAAAACCACATTTAAGCAATGTTTTGAATGAGCAAAGTAGCTTAGGAGCGGAGCAAGTAGGAGCAAAAGTGGGGAAATTAGGGAAACCCACAGTTTTATAGCTGTATCCCTAAGAAAAAATTCGATTAAATTAAATTAAATAAAATTCGAAATTAAAAACCGATAGTAAAACATCGTTTTTAATGAGGAAACTCGCTTTTGGGTTCGCTGATTACTAAATGATACTTTATTTCCAGATCAGATACAAATTGGCAGAGCTATGGCCATCGGACGGAGAAAAAGTGGGGAAATCAGGAAAACCCACAATTTTATAGGGGTACCCCTAGGAAAAAGTTAAAAAAATTTAAAAACCACATTTAAGCAATGTTTTGAATGAGGAAAGTAGCTTTTGGGTTCGCTGATTACTAAATGGTACTTTATTTCCTGATCGGATACGAATTGGCAGAGCTATGACCATCGGAAGGAGCAAAAGTGGGGAAATTAGGGAAACCCACAATTTTATAGCTGTATCCCTAAGAAAAAATTCGAAAAATTAAAAAAAGATATTAAAACATCGTTTTTAATGAGGAAACTCGCTTTTGGGTTCGCTGATTACTAAATGGTACTTTATTTCCTGATCGGATACGAATTGGCAGAGCTATGACCATCGGAAGGAGCAAAAGTGGGGAAATCAGGAATACCCACAATTTTGAAGGGGTACCCCTAGGAAAAAGTTCAAAAAATTTAAAAACCACATTTAAGCAATGGCTTGAATGAGGAAAGTCGCTTCTGGGTTCGCTGATTACTAAATGGTACATTATTTCCTGATCGGATACGAATTGGCAGAGCTATGACCATCGGAAGGAGCAAAAGTGGGGAAATCAGGAAAACCCACAATTTTGTAGTGGTACCCCTAGGAAAAAATTCGAAAAATTTAAAAACCACATTTAAGCAATGGTTTGAATGAGGAAAGTCGCTTTTGGGTTCGCTGATTACTAAATGGTATTTTATTTCCTGATCGGATACGAATTGGCAGAGCTATGACCATCGGAAGGAGCAAAAGTGGGGAAATCAGGAATACCCACAATTTTGAAGGGGTACCCCAAGGAAAAAGTTCGAAAAATTTATTAACCACATTTAAGCAATGTTTTAAATGAGGAAAGTAGCTTTTGGGTTCGCTGATTACTAAATGGTACTATATTTCCTGATCGGATACGAATTGGCAGAGCTATGGCCATCGGAAGGAGCAAAAATGGGGAAATCAGGAATACCCACAATTTTGAAGGGGTACCCCAAGGAAAAAGTTCAAAAAATTTAAAAACCACATTTAAGCAATGGCTTGAATGAGGAAAGTCGCTTCTGGGTTCGCTGATTACTAAATGGTATTTTATTTCCTGATCGGATACGAATTGGCAGAGCTATGGCCATCGGAAGGAGCAAAAGTGGGGAAATCAGGAATACCCACAATTTTGAAGGGGTACCCCAAGGAAAAAGTTCGAAAAATTTAAAAACCACATTTAAGCAATGTTTTAAATGAGGAAAGTAGCTTTTGGGTTCGCTGATTACTAAATGGTATTTTATTTCCTGATCTGATACGAATTGGCAGAGCTATGGCCATCGGAAGGAGCAAAAATGGGGAAAACAGGAAAACACACAATTTTGTGGGGGTTCGAAGGAAAAAATTCGAAAAATTTAAAAACCACATTTAAGCAATGGCTTGAATGAGGAAAGTCGCTTTTGGGTTCGCTGATTACTAAATGGTATTTTATTTCCTGATCGGATACGAATTGGCAGAGCTATGGCCATCGGAAGGAGCAAAATGGGGAAATCAGGAAAACCCACAATTTTGAAGGGGTACCCCTAGGAAAAAGTTCGAAAAATTTAAAAACCACATTTAAGCAAAGTTTTAAATGAGGAAAGTAGCTTCTGGGTTCGCTGATTACTAAATGGTACTATATTTCCTGATCGGATACAAATTGGCAGAGCTATGGCCATCGGAAGGAGCAAAAGTGGGGAAATCAGGAAAACCCACAATTTTGAAGGGGTACCCCTAGGAAAAAGTTCGAAAAATTTAAAAACCACATTTAAGCAAAGTTTTAAATGAGGAAAGTAGCTTTTGGGTTCGCTGATTACTTAATGATATTTTATTTCCTGATCGGATACGAATTGGCAGAGCTATGGCCATCGGAAGGAGCAAAAGTGGGGAAATCAGGAAAACCCACAATTTTGAAGGGGTACCCCTAGGAAAAAGTTCGAAAAATTTAAAAACCACATTTAAGCAAAGTTTTAAATGAGGAAAGTCGCTTTTGGGTTCGCTGATTACTAAATGGTATTTTATTTCCTGATCGGATACGAATTGGCAGAGCTATGGCCATCGGAAGGAGCAAAAATGGGGAAAACAGGAAAACCCACAATTTTGTGGGGGTCAAAGGAAAAAATTCGAAAAATTTAAAAACCACATTTAAGCAATGGCTTGAATGAGGAAAGTCGCTTTTGGGTTCGCTGATTACTAAATGGTATTTTATTTCCTGATCGGATACTAATTGGCAGAGCTATGGCCATCGGAAGGGGCAAAAGTGGGGAAATCAGGAAAACCCACAATTTTGAAGGGGTACCCCTAGGAAAAAGTTCGAAAAATTTAAAAGCCTCATTTAAGCAAAGTTTTAAATGAGGAAAGTAGCTTCTGGGTTCGCTGATTACTAAATGGTACTATATTTCCTGATCGGATACAAATTGGCAGAGCTATGGCCATCGGAAGGAGCAAAAGTGGGGAAATCAGGAAAACCCACAATTTTGAAGGGGTACCCCTAAGAAAAAGTTCGAAAAATTTAAAAACCACATTTAAGCAAAGTTTTAAATGAGGAAAGTAGCTTTTGGGTTCGCTGATTACTAAATGGTATTTTATTTCCTGATCGGATACGAATTGGCAGAGCTATGGCCATCGGAAGGAGCAAAAATGGGGAAAACAGGAAAACCCACAATTTTGTGGGGGTTCAAAGGAAAAAATTCGAAAAATTTAAAAACCACATTTAAGCAATGGCTTGAATGAGGAAAGTCGCTTTTGGGTTCGCTGATTACTAAATGGTATTTTATTTCCTGATCGGATACTAATTGGCAGAGCTATGGCCATCGGAAGGAGCAAAAGTGGGGAAATCAGGAAAACCCACAATTTTGAAGGGGTACCCCTAGGAAAAAGTTCGAAAAATTTAAAAACCACATTTAAGCAAAGTTTTAAATGAGGAAAGTAGCTTCTGGGTTCGCTGATTACTAAATGGTACTATATTTCCTGATCGGATACAAATTGGCAGAGCTATGGCCATCGGAAGGAGCAAATGTGGGGAAATCAGGAAAACCCACAATTTTGAAGGGGTACCCCTAGGAAAAAGTTCGAAAAATTTAAAAACCACATTTAAGCAAAGTTTTAAATGAGGAAAGTAGCTTTTGGGTTCGCTGATTACTAAATGGTATTTTATTTCCTGATCGGATACGAATTGGCAGAGCTATGGCCATCGGAAGGAGCAAAAGTGGGGAAATCAGGAAAACCCACAATTTTGAAGGGGTACCCCTAGGAAAAAGTTCGAAAAACTTAAAAACCACATTTAAGCAAAGTTTTAAAGGAGGAAAGTCGCTTTTGGGTTCGCTGATTACTAAATGGTACTTTATTTCCTGATCGGATACAAATTGGCAGAGCTATGGTCATCGGACGGAGAAAAAGTGGGGAAATAAGAGAAACCCACAATTTTATAGCTGTACCCCTAAGAAAAAAATTCGAAAAATTAAAAACCGATATTAAAACATCGTTTTTAATGAGGAAACTCGCTTTTGGGTTCGCTGATTACTAAATGATACATTATTTCCTGATCGGATCAAAATTGGCAGAGCTATGGCCATCGGACGGAGAAAAAGTGGGGAAATCAGAAAAACCCACAATTTTATAGTGGTACCCCAAGGAAAAAGTTCGAAAAATTTAAAAACCACATTTAAGCAATGTTTTAAATGAGGAAAGTCGCTTTTGGGTTCGCTGATTACTAAATGGTACTTTATTTCCTGATCGGATACGAATTGGCAGAGCTATGACCATCGGAAGGAGCAAAAGTGGGGAAATCAGGAAAACCCACAATTTTGAAGGGATACCCCTAGGAAAAAGTTCAAAAAATTTAAAAACCACATTTAAGCAATGTTTCAAATGAGGAAAGTAGCTTTTGGGTTCGCTGATTACTAAATGGTACTTTATTTCCTGATCGGATACGAATTGGCAGAGCTATGACCATCGGAAGGAGCAAAAGTGGGGAAATCAGGAAAACCCACAATTTTGAAGGGGTACCCCTAGGAAAAATTC